TTCTCTGTGTTCAAATAACACACTTATGTGCTAAAATAACAATTTTTATGTGCTTTAATTTGGGACATAAAATACCGTATGGAAGGAAATTTTGGAGGTAGTTAAATTTGGCGAATTTGGCATTTTGATAGCCATTCGCCAAAATAAAAATTTGCCATTTTGAGCCATTATACGCATGCTCAATGGCACGTGGCCACAAATTCACCAAATTAAAATTCGCCAATCACCAAAATTTAGCAATTTGCCAAAATTTAGTCCCTCCAAAATTTCCTTCTGTACGGTATGTGTCATTTAAACACATCAGTTTTATCAGTGTGCAGTTCTGTAACCACATAGCTGGTAATTTTGGAAGGGAAATTTTGGTCCATTCCATGTTTGATAGTTATTCAACAAAATATTATGAATCATTATGCACATCAAGTGTTCAATGGCACACATGGCCACAAATTCATCGCCAGAAGAAACCAAAAATTTAGCAATGTGCGAAAATTCTTCCTCCAAGATTACCAGCTATATGGTTTATATGATGTGCCTCATCTTATACTATGCTGTGCAAGATACTACCCCCTTATCTACTCTTGATAGTAGACAAGAAGAATGGATTGGAAACATCTAATAGAAACGCTTAGATTTTTGTCATTGTAATAGTAGAAACAAGATAGGACAGGCATTTAATTTTTGTGTACCATTCAAGAACATTCTAGATTATTCTTTTTTATTTACTGGACTATTCCTTTGTTGTGTGGACTATTCTTTTTGTGTACTGGAACATTCTGGACTAGAAGGTTCCAGATTTGTACCTTGCTATAAATATGTGTGATTTTTGTAAATAGTTGGTTCCTTGCTTGATAAAAACATAATATTAAACCACTTACTTCTGGTGAACACTGTTACAGTCATTAATGCACGCTTCTCCAAAATGGTAGACTGCAGACATGACTGCCTTTGCTACTGCATATAAGTTAACTGTAAACTTAGTTTATCTTAAGCGGAGTTAAGCCTATAGTTGATAATAGCACCTCCAAATTCAAACTGCATGCATTGAGCATTTCGTAGTCAACTAAAAATCTTTGCCAAAGGCTAATGGTGAACTTTTTTATTGAATGACAATATTTGCCTATTAATTTTTACCCATGTGTGATCAATAATTTACCAGGCTAGCTTTGTTGCTGAAGACTCAGTCTGATATCCAAGTATTTGGAGAACCTATATAGTCTCTCAGTTCAGTTTGGACCATGCATACTTTGTTATTTTAATGACATTTTTATTGCATTTAAAATTTTTGTAAAGTGCATTATAATACATGTTTCATTGTTTGTTTCCATCACAGTCGCTCTTTTGCCTTATATTTCCTCCATGATCAAAATAATTGTGGCAATAGCCATCATTCTGACAGAAGCCATGCACCATAACGCTATACACATGTTTATTGTGACTGGGAAGCATACAGCTAGGTGAAGCACATATGATTTTTATAAATGTGGTTGTTTCCAATTCATCTTTCCAATCACTATCTATGGCAACATACTACATATAGTATCTATAGTATAATGGCAAGTCAATTCTTCTCTGCCAATTGTAATGCTTGTAGATTCGTGTAAATGTGCATTAATATAATGATGATAAAGCATACCTGAATCATATCCTAACTGACGACAGACAACACTTGCATCAGTGTTATCCCAGTAGTCATCACAAACCGTTCCCCATGCACCAGCACTACTGCATACTTCAACACGTCCCTCACTGGTACTAGTACCACCCACGAGTCGAATAGAACCACTAGTACATGCTAATCCATGATGTATTCTTGTCAAAAGAAAGGTTACTGTCACCAGAATAGCTCCAAGTTTCATTACGAGGCGATTAGGTAAGAGAAAAGCGAAGCTTCTGTGTTTTGAGCGGACAAATTGAAAAAATCCAAATACCGTGTTCGGAAGTATACTAGAAATCATAACAGTACTTCAGAAAGGCGGAGCCGGAGCTCGAGCGCTCGCTCGGAAAGACTCTTACTTCAATCATAGACTGTATGATATCTATGCTCCACTTCAGCTAATCTGCATTCTTTTTTGCTATTAGCGTTTCAGGTGTTTACACTAATCCACATATGTGTAGAGTTTTAGGTATTGAAGTCTCACAGCAGTTGCAACGTTGCAAATGTTGCATTAAATGAATTACTAGGCATATACAGCCAACATTAGTGCAGCATTGTTGCACTGTAGCGTTGTTGCATTGCTTCACTGTAGCACTGTTGCATTATAGTATTGTAGCACTGTTGCATTGTTGCATTGTAGCACTGTTGCATTGTTGGACTGTTGCATTGTAGCACTGTTTCATTGTTGCACTGTAGCATTGGTGCACTGTAGCATTGATGCGCTGTAGCATTGTTGCACTGTTATCAGTTATTTAACCTACAATGTTAAAAACTTATAAAAATTTGAGATAAATTTATCTTACATTTTTCACATATCCAAAATTTGTTTACGTCACACTTCTAACACTTCATGTGATACCACCTCATACACTGATCACATCCCACCATCTGATGCCTCTCTCCCTTCTTAAACTTTTCTCCACAATGCAGGCAATAAGTTTTATGAAGTAATTTGGTTTTTTTACTGCAGGAAAATTGTACTGCTCCATCAGTGGTTCTTGTATTCAAGCGAAATGATATCTTATGATCTTTTAACTGAAAAAATTAAAACATTATAACAAACTGTAATGTTAGTATCACATGCACCTGTTACAGAATGATCCTGTTCAGGCTGTTTAGGAGAACAAGCAACAGTTACGTATTCTTAATCTTTTTGATCTTTTACCTATAATTTAAAGTGGACTTCAAAAGAGTTTCACACATATGCACGGAACAAGAATGAAAAGCATGCATGCACTAAAGTTAAAACCTGCTTAGTCACTCCATTTGCATTCTTTTAAATCTCTATTTATAGCATCTTTACATTATCCTTCCTGAAATTTTTTATCTTTACTCCTTGTATTTCACAACCACTGAAGGATTCATTTTGTTGTTCTATATATTATTGTTATCTTCAATGAAAGTTAGTGTGGAATCACCATTCTCTATGATAAATCCATAATATCAATTGTACGCTAATTTTTAGTTCAACTGCCTTACTTTGCAAATCACAACTATTACTCATGGAGTCAATTTCAGCCTTCTGTGAAAACCACTGCAAAATAGGCACAGATAGAGAGTATCCAACCGGTGTTACAGATTTCTTGAAATTTGTTAATAAAAAAGCTAACAAAGGTAAATTATACTGTTTCCTACATATTAGTATGAGTCATCTTGTTCATATCATATAGTCGACTGTGTGACAACAGATACATCAGCAACATCTAATGTGTCGGGTCAGTCACATATTCTTTAATATTGTCTATGCATAATTTTGATTATATTATAGGCAAAAAATACACATTTACTAAGAGTGTTAGATGACACAACATTAGGTAATTCAACATCATGTAACAAAGACCTTGGCAGGAGCAACAGACTACGCCACTGGAGTAGAAGTCATCTATTCATTTGCTGACCCTGTGGGCACATTGATTATTGGCAACCTCTTTACAAGTATCTTTTACAGTGGTACCACAGAATGAAATAGGTCAGAATCTCCCTCTCAAGTATTTGTTCCTGCAACATGTGCAACGTTGCAAAAAAAGGTTACACTAATCAGTAAACCTAAATCTCTCCATATATTGTAATCCAGCAGCTGCATTTTCATTTGAATCTATCATTCATTAAGTATCTAATAAGGTATTTGTTTTCCAAAAACTCCTGATAAGTATGCATTTTTATGCAATGAAACTAAAAGTCTTCACTGATTTTCCAAAGTGGCCCTAAATTATTTAAAGCTAAGATTTTGAAGTTCAAAGTATTTGGTAAGTTGCAGTTTACAGGATTTACGAAATATTTCATGGTTTTCACAACAAAAATAAACTGAATTCATCAAAGCCATTACGATGTCATGCAATGGTTAAGGCACCACCTTTTATACTGTGAATAACCATCATGCACTTTATAGTGTTATGCATACATAATCTGTAACATCTACAAGGTAATAATGCTAAAGCAATTGAACCAAAAAGTGCCCCTTTCTACATGTATAAATAATGCAACTGTTTGTGAACTAAAAATTTCTAGTCAAATAACAAATTTGCCATGCTACAATGCATATAAAACCAACTGTGGGCACCCAGTGGTGACAAATTTTAGTGATTAATAGTGTACCATCAAAGGCTAGTCTAAGAGCTAGATTACATTTAATTTCAATCAAAAATGGCAATCAATAGCTTTGCTCGCCCCAATATTTACATTCAAATAGTACTAGTAAATCAATCATTATATCCTAGCTCTCAATACAATAGCACAATAGTTGATGATATTACAATTGCTTTGGAGTCATTCATTCCTTATGCTTATAGTTAATTCAAAAGCTCTATTTTTTACAAAACTAAGGATTAAATTGAAGATGTGAATCATTTCAAAAAATTAACATTCATTTAAAAACAACTAGTCTCTTACAGTATGTCCTCTTAATATACTCTGCAAGTACTAAATTAACTGGAGGGGAAAAAGAAAAGAGAGGGGCAGAGACAAAAATTTAATAGTTAGCAATGCTATTAATTATATAAACCTCATTGTATTTATTCTATAAATGGAACAATTAATACTCTAATGAAGACGACCCTAAAAAGAGAAAGAAGCAATTAGAAAACAAATCAAAATGATAAACAGTAATTGTACTTTTACTCTTGGAGGAGTATTGAACTGTATATCAGTTTGATTTGATTCAAATTCCTTTGAATAAAATGAATGATGTGGTGATTCGTCTATATAAGTACATAACAAATCCTTTGTTGAGTCCAGCCCTACATGTAGTTTCCTCCTAGTGGGAGGGGCTTGTCAATAAATAACAAATGAGACGTAGACATACCTTTTTCTCTGCAGCTTAAAAAGTCGATAATTTTCCACTTGTTTCTTTGGGGTGTCTATTACAAGCACATCATCTAAAATTGTACATATGAGAAGGAAACAATTAAATTTTACAAACATACACACACTCTCTCTCTCTCTTAATTACCCTTTAGTTTTTCCCTGAGTCTTTTCTTTCCTCTGTCATGTTTTTCACTCCTCTATTGCTAGTGAACAAACTCCTTCTACAAACTGTCTCTGCAATAATAGATATTAAAAAAAATAAAATGGATGACCACTCAACTCACTTGATCTACTACAAACCTAAACAAAATACTAATAATTTGCTGGAGTATACTACAATGAACTGACTTTGGATTTCTTTGATATGCCAGTCCTTGAAAAATGGCCCTTCGTGCTAAACTAAATAAACAAAAAATAACCAGGAGAATTCTTAAGATATGAGGGCTGGTACCTAGTAGTCTTCAGTATTGGTTCTTCTGATATAGTAGCCTCAGTAGGAGACTTACACTTCTCCTCTTCACTGAAGTTGTCCTTGAACAAGGACACTGGTGTAACGGGGACAGACGAGGAAGGAGAGCAGAGACATGATGGTAATGGTATCATTAAATCCTCAAAAATTCTTCTTAACAAAGCAAAGCACTTTACACTGTATCTGTTGAGAGACATAGTAAAATGGGCATCAAATACAAATAATAAACAGCAGGCTTTATATAGTGATAATGAGGACAAGCATTAACTGAAATGCAGTACTCACTCAGACACTATGACATCCTCTAATAGTTTGCCCATTATTGTTGGAGAATAATAACCTCTGAGCAACTGCACCACCTTTAAAATAAATGAATAAGTAAATAAATATAATAAGTAAACTAAATAATACCGTTTCTGTTACATATTCCTCTTCTTCTTCAATTTTGAAATAATAGTAAAATTCAAAACGAAGTAATATTTGTACCATACGTCTAAAATAAAAAAAACAAGTTATTAAATGCTTGAAATCTCAAAGTTTACCAAAGAGTTACACAGTGCTAGCTTTTTTCCAGTGGATTTTTAAAGGAAAATGACATGCAATTTGGTGTATTAAATTTATGGTCTTGACATGATTGTCTGACCATAGTAATGATGTGTTGCAACTTTAATAGTCTGAAAAAGTTATTGACTGAGACATCCTTCAGTGTTACTGCCTGTCACTTTGAAAAGTTTTATTTTGTTTTTATAAACAAAATAATATACAACTTTGAAAAGGGGGTGCATTATTCATGCTGTGCAAAAATTTTGAATTTATTCATGAATTTTTAAAGATGATCAAAATTTTTGTGAACTATAGTACATACAAGGGACATGTATTTCAAAAAAATGGCTAGGAGAAAATTCTCCATTTCTATAATTTTTCTGATGCATACACATGTTCTTATGTTGTCTAAAAAAATTGAGCAGATCCTGGTCAAGGCAAGTTAGTAATTTGCCAAATTAAGAGACGACCAATAATACATTTAGGCAATTTTGATGAAAAACCATAAAAGTTGTAGGTTGCTATATTTTCCAGCTATACAGTACATGTATATTTTACTTCTTAATTGAATCCATTAGCGTAGAGGGGATGCCAAAGTGTGGAGTTAATGAACTCCATTGAGTCATTAAGTCCCAAGTGAGAGAAGAAGAGAGGGGAGGACCGGAGGAGAGCATGAACTGGAAAAGACATCATCTTTTGAAAGAAAGAGGGAGAATGGGACAGAGAAAAAAGATAAATAAAAGGAAGACGAGTAGAATAATGTAATAATAAAATAATAATGACACACTTTCTTTCTGCATACATTAGACTGGTATGAATGAACACTTCATCATCTGTTACTAGTCTAGACTCTGCACCAGTCTCTACTAAAGTAGGTGTGTCACTGGGAGGGGCCTATACCACTTCATCATAATTATCATAGATAATAGAGTAAATGAAAAAAAAATTAATATCATTTAATATCTATGATCATATATTGGTGAGTATGCAGGGGAGATTTGATGCAAAGTACAACTATACTCGTCTGGGGCTGTAAGACTACCAATTGCATTTCATTGTTATTGTTTCTATTGAATGCTTTTAGGATCTACATAAAAAATAAATTATAAATAAATAAACATATGTACAATGTATGTAGACATGTACTTACCAACATATATATTACTCCCTAACTATACACAAATTACACATAAATTGTGAAATTGAATTAATAATTCATTGCTATTGTTCAAGATGCACCCTCAGTTAAAAATAAATGGTTAAAGGGTATTCCTTCATTCATTATCACTCTTATTGGTAGTAACTGAAGTGAGCCATTATTCATGTATAATGCTGGAGGGACACTCTGATATAACGAGAAAACATTTATGTAACACACTAAAGTATCATCTAAAAATAACAACAAATACATGTAAATTAATTACTCCGCATAATATTATTTAGAATACTATAAATTTGGCAGATAAAACCTACATTAACAATTTAAGATGTCAGTCATGGCACACAGTGTACATGTATATTTGCAAAAATTAAATCTAAAAATAGGTTTTTGAGCAAATTTGCAAAATTTACAGCAATCTGTACTGTACACTACAGTAATAATAATAAACCACTATAGTAATATGTGTGTGTACCAATTTAGCATTTTTGGAGATTGGATATCAGCTTTAGTTAATTTATGTCGTTGAATTATTTATAATTCCTTGCCTTAATCAAAGTAATGGGTTTTGATTGTAAATTGAAGCGGCTTAAAGTAAATCAAACTCATTCTGCAAAAGTTGCATTGATGAGCTTAACAAGCATTCAAATAAAAACAATGTGGGTTATTTTGCAATAAAATCTAACCCCAGCCAACAGTAACTTACTTGTATTATATAACAAGTGGGGTGGGTGTGCCTTGGTAATTGGTTTGTTTAGTTTATCAAGATAATGTCTCTGGTGGTAGCAGCAGTGATGGCGTGCAAGTCAATGGAGAAATAGGAGAGGCCACTAGGGCAGAGAGAGGGATTACGCCACCTCCAAATGACTGTAAACATGACTTTAAAGATTTAAGATTAATAGAAGACTGAGAGACAAGGTCCAGAACTGAAGGAGAGCTAGAAAGAAAGAGAAGAGAGAAAAAAAGGAGAAAATTACAGAGACAAATAGTAACAAATTGCTCTGAGAACATTTATTGTAATAAAAACATAAAGCATAAAGAGTGTTTGCTACTGTAATTACCTCATTATTAGTTTAAATCCTATCCAAATTACATTTATTATTATACTTAATTGACTCCGCAGATCTGGCAGAAAAACAACCTTCAATATCAATTTTTCATAGGAGTCTTCAACTTCAGAAAATAAATCCAAAATCAGATAAATACGTTTCATTACATGACTAAATGGTGGTGTGCAATAGTGGGGGTGTCCCATGGGTGCCCTTGTACCGAGAGAGCCAGTAGCTGATAGAGCTGATGGTTTGGGGTCCGGGTTTGATCTTTAGGGGCCACATAGTTGCCTGGGCCTTATCCCCAAGAACACCGTAGTTCCATTTAATATGTTTGGCATTAGTGCCCATTAATATTCTACAGGATAAGGAGAACAAAATATCTGGAGGAAGAAGGGAGGAAAGGCCGCTTAAATCTAAGATGAAAAGGAGCTTGGCATCCATCTCCGTGACTCCGTCGTCCATCTCCATCAGGACCATCACTAAGTTAACCACGTGGCACGACAGGCACAGGTGTCCACTGTCCAGATTAATGAGATTATGCTAATTTTTTTAAAACCAATAATTCTATCCAGAAATTGTCAAAAAATTTAATTATTATTCTTTTTACTCTCTCCTATTACCGTACAGCAGGAAATATTTGCGGGGAATTAAATTTTTGCGAGTTTGCGATTCCATTTAAAGCGCAAAATTTAAATCCGCAAAATAATGAAATTCATGCATGACCACAGTAGATAATGCTACAATAACTGTCAAAACCGCAAATATTTAATCCGCAAACCAAGTTATTTTTAAGGATTCGCAAAATTTTTCTCCGCAAAATTAACCAGTTGTACGGTATTCTCACTTTACTTTACAATTATGACCTAACTACCATGAAAATGAAAATTAGTAGATCTAAGTCTGAGAAGCTATCATCATTAGCAGAGACTGCAAAATATAAGTCTTTATATTATATCAATTTCAAAACCTGAACTGTCTTCAAAATTACAACTAGGTACTGAGCTCAGGCATTAAAAATTTTTTTAAATGGTTCACTTGCTGCTCTTTAATTAGAGTTTGGCTACTACTGATCCACAGTCCACTTATTAGGCCAGCATTATTCTGGAATTCAGTGAAGTTCTACCTATTATTCCCAATCGGGACACCCCTACCGAGATCCCTACTTAGCTTTGGTTATATTTTCTGGTCAAGTATAAAGTTAGTTTAAACTGTGAAACAGCTGCAGTACTTGCCTGTGTAAACAATCTGTAAACCACAAAGAAGCTCATTTAACAAAATTTTGACTTCTCAAATGAAATCCTGCAGGCCTAGTTGACCACACCCACTAATTACCTTACCCATATCATTAAGGCCCCCTTAAAATTCAATCCTAGATCTGCCCTTGATTGATCGTACCGGTAGTCTAAAAATCTACTACTGTGTTGCATGTATGGTAAATTTTGCTAGTTCATGTTGTAAAGTCATACATAATGCAACGGCAGATTTGTTTGATAATTAACAGCACAAAAATGAAAATGAAAGGTTGCACAAAAACTATCTAAGTTTGAAAAAATAGTCACCACAATCATTAATTATGATGTATTAATTATTTTTTCCAAATAGTTCATCGTAACGTGGTGGCTCTCCTGAGCGAAGATCTGCTTCTGCAGGACCATTGAAGCCACTGGATGGATAAGGTATCTGTTGTAATGCAATCACAGGAGGATACTGGTAATCAGTAGCAGGTCTCTGGTTAGGTAATGCCATAACTTGTGGATCACCAAAATTATATCCTGGTGCAAATGGTGGTGGCTGTTGAGAAGATGTTGAAGGATTATTGCTATTGCTAGTACTATGTTGTTGTTGAGAAGACTGCTGTGGCTGTGTGGATGTGAACTGTCTTTGTGATCCTGAAAGCGTATTCAGTTGTATGGCTGGTCTGCTGCTTGTAGGAGGAGGAAGTCGAGCTGTTGACCTCTTTTTGTTTGAAGCAACAAACCAAATAATGCAGCAGGTTATGCAAACTATTGTTGGTATGGTAATACCACCAACTGTACCTCCAACAATGCCTCCAATATCTAAAAATAATATTATAAATAAAAATTAATGTTAACGAATAATAATTAACTAGTATTTCCTGAGTCGCCAATATTACAGTGTCCTAGTGTAGCAGTATTGGTATATGATGAAGAATACACTATTTATAACAATTAAAATGTCAATGGAGTAAAATTAATCAGAACTTACAACAAGAAACAGTTACATCCTCAGAATGTGAACACGATGTAATACTGGAGCTA